GAAGAGGATAATACTTCCCATAACTGTAGGGTATTTCAATGTTTATGAAGAGCTGTCAGTTCATCTGATTTTGACAATCCCATGAGGCCATTATTCTCAACTCAAAAATATGTCTAGGATGATAAGAAGTGAAGCTGGACTCAATGCCGATGCCTCAGAAGATTTACTATATAGGAAGGCACTATATCTAATTTTGTGCTTGTAATTTTTAATTTTATGTCATAAAGAAGGCTCTCAACATTTATGGGTTTCAAGACATATAAACCTATCAATACTATCTTTGTCTCGATAGAACTGTTTCTTTTTCTTTAGTTTTGTCTCACTGTGTTGTGAAGCTATTGCTTGTAGCAATAGTCCCTAAAGTATCCAAACTAGTGGTTCTCAGCTGTACTATACATAATAGTCATCTGGAGAAAAAATTTTAAAGTTATTCCCAAGTTTCCACTCTATATATAGTGCTTCTGTTTTGATAATCTAGTTTGGAAACTTAAGAATATATAGCATATATAGCATGTGTGATGTGCATTTTACATATGATATATTATATGATACATATGATATGTATAATATATGGCTATATTTATATATGATATGTGATATATTTATGCAATACATCTTAGATGGAATATATTTTTATTCATATATATATATATATATGTGTGTGTGTGTGTGTGTGTTTGTGTGTGTGTGTGTGTGTGTGTGTGTGTGTGTGTGTNTGTGTGTGTGTGTGTGTGTGTGTGTGTGTGTGTGTGTATCCTGTACCCCTGTATCCAAGTTAAGTCTGCTAGTCTTAAGGTCATATGTTGAGACTCAAATATATGCCAATCATTTTAAATTGAAAGTAACCTTAGAATTTGTCTGCTAGTGACATTACTCATTTTAGGATAAGCTGAAGTTTTTGCTTCCCTGTTGGGTGGCTTCCAATTCAAAAATGATGACAACTCCAAGGGGCTAGAGAGGTGGTAGAAGGCTCGGTTTGGTTAAACATTCTCTTTCAAAGCAGCCCTTTGAGCAGACATTTGGAAGTATTCATTATACTCGTATCAACACCTGCCATAGACACAGCTAATGATTCAGAACACTTTGGTGATGACCTCACCACTAAACTTCAGTTCCACTTTCACAATACCCACCATAAAAATGAAGTTGTATAGATTGGCCCTAAAATAAAATATAAATGACTTCCACATCTCCACTTTGTAGAGTCTATCTATATACAGCACTTTTAGTCCCATTGCTCTCTCACCTTATTTCCCTTTAAATCCTGTCTCAATTTTAACCTCTGTTCCTTCCACAGGGTCACTACTTCCTGCAAACCACCTGGTTCTGTCTCATTCCAACAGTTCGCAGCCTCCTGTTTCTCCACTCCTCCATTCCATCTGCCATAGAGCAGATACTGCAAAACAGTTATTAAAATCTTTAGAGATGCCATCTGCTGCCTAGTGTTGTCTATAAATCATTCCACATTATAAATATTACCATTGCAGGGTGTGGCCTGGGACCTCTGAGAGATTGGATGGAATAATTTAACATCATAATTATCCTCATGGCCTGGAGGACTACAACATTCAAATATTATTTCACCAGTAAAAGCAATGGCTTCCAAAGGAGTATAATAGCCTCCTTTCTCCTTATCCTCTTCCCACCGTCTAACCAAATATCAGCCCTGAATCAAAGATTCTGGAAGATAACACCCCCTTTAAGTTATGCTAAGAATCAACCAAGAACTGTAATATAGCCAAGAGTCAAAAGAAATAATTTAGATATTTTGTACAATGGAATGATGAGTCTTAGAAAATATATACTATTACAGGATTAGTTGAAGGTGATCAAAGGTAATCATTGTACTAAGATAGGAATGAATTGAAGGAGTAAAAGCAAAGCTATGTTTCTCTGCCTATTCTTTTACTAAATAACAAAGATTTATTTGGTTTTTACCATTTAGCACTGCTACTTTTATAATTACAAATTTACAGTATATTAAATATTTAATCCCAAATACTAAATCATATTTATTATCAAAAGCACATATGATTAAAATCATTTAAATATCTGTATGAAATATAAAACTGATTAAATGATTTAAATGATATGTATCTTGTATATATACAATTATATTTCCTTTTTTCTAAAGGATGTGCAATATTTTTCAAATAATGAGACCTCGTCGTGTGTATTATTTTATAAAGTAAATCTAAACAGCATGATGTAAATGGTTCTGAAACCAAAATATAAATTACATATTATTTTCAACAACACAGCAATATGCATTATTAACTACTTAAACTTAATAGAATAACCCAGCATCACCACCTGCTGTTTGAAACAGAAAATTCAATTTAGTGAGTTCAATTTAGAGTTAAAGAAACAGGAGCTCAAAACATGGTGCAGTTATAAATCATCATGAGAATGAAGTACATTATTACCATTATCTCTCAGATTTTAAGGTTTTTAAATAATGTATTTTTGAGCATATGTGCAGATTTTTAAATATACTGATATGAAAAATAAAAAGCTATGTAAAGCCAAGTCAAATAAATGAACATTTTCAACCTGAGCACTCTGTTGTACTATAAAGCTAAGAGAATTTGATTTTTCTACCACAGAATTTCATCAACTTTCACTCTTATTGATTACTCTTAATGAGTACACATGTTTATTCCTCTGTATATGTGTTACTGTTAACAGGTATATTATCGATGTAATGAAGAGGGAAAACATGGCCTTTTCAAATTTAATTGGATTTGAATTCCAACCCTTCTACTTGTTAGCTTTGAGCTTAGTCTAGTTAAGTAGCTTCTCTGAAAACCCACTGCAAATTTTAAAAATTGGGGTAACAACATGGACCTTGTAGAGTTTTATGAGACTTTCAAATACTATATGTAAAGCACTGGAGATGCATATTATGCATTGAATAAATGACATTTCTGATATTATTTTATTCCACAATTTTTGTATATAAGAAAAATTTAAAAACCTAAGCCTCCTCTACATTTTCAACTGAAAGTTTATCAACACTTCTGTTTGTGCAATGTGTTGCCACATGCTTGGGTTAAAATGACTTAGTTTATTTAATTTGTAATCTTTAGAGTTCCCTATCTGTAACCTTGGCAACATAGTAGAGAACTATCACTAAAATCCCAAATTTGGAAATTTCAAATCATATCAGACCATGCACAGATGTCAGAAATATCATGAGAACACCTAAGAAGTCTTATCTTTCAAATAAATGTAAAGCAGGAGACCTGAATCAGTCACTCAGTCAACTTCATAAAAACATCAAATTTATGGTAGGCGAGCTTTACAGTTTTAGCCTACAGTCCAATAGGGGATTTTTGTGTTTGTTTTTTGTGGGGTTTTTTACAAGGAGAATAGGAGAGAAGTACAAATGTGTTTATGAATATATTTGGATTCATCTGATGATGGGGGGTCACTTTGGAAAGCATAAGCATCTCCCTCATGGGCAAGCCTCCAACAGATTTTAAGAATGAGCTTTTTATCCTGTGTTCTGATATAGTCCAATATACTAGTAGTGATTTTTAAAAACCTCACGAATACTTAGTTATATCCTTGGAGAAATAATATTGTGAGTACAGCCATCATGATGAGTCTTCTACAGAAATTCAATTAGATGAGAAAAATGAAGTAGGTGTATATCATTGAGCTCTTCAGTTATACATAGAATGATGCAATGGATGAATAATAAAGTAAATAGAGAAATGAATGGATAGATAGATACATGAGTAGACAGATGGAGAGATCTCAGAAAAGAAGTTTACCAAGGGAGAAAGGAAAGCTGTTCCTGACACTAGAATTCCAACTAATGAAAGTCAAAGGAATGTTAGAAATAGAAAATCATTATTTGGAAACCACTCTAGTAATAACTGTTTCCGGTAAGAATCATCTACGGATTTGTGGATAAAAGTATAGTGAGAAGCAGGATGATTATATGATCTCAAAGTAGCACTCAACAAGGTAGTTATTAATTAAAAAGGGAAACGTGGAGAAAATTGGGAGATAACACCTTTACTAAATGGCCTGTTAATGACACATCATGATGCTTTGCCGCATCACTCCTGTGGTTCCTGTCACAAATGCATAACTGGAATCTAATAATAGGGAAACATCAACCAAACCCAACTGAGGAACATTTCACAAAATAACTGTCCTGTATTCTTAAAAAATATCTGCCATAAAAGACAAAGAAAATTAAGGATCTGTTTCAGAATTAAGGAAGATAAACAAGCATGACAGACAGCTCCATGCAGCATGGGATTGCGGAATGGTTAAGAACATCAGTGGTACACATAGCTGAATTTGAGTGTGGCTTCTAGGTGAGACACTAGTGTTATCAATGTCAGCTTCTTGATTTTATTTATCATAATACAGTTGATTCACAGGAGGTGTATGCTGATGTATTTAGATGCAAAGGGTGTCATGTCTGCAACTTATTCTCAAATATTTAAGAAAAATATATAGCTATAGTTATATTTTTATCTATAGTTATATCTATAGCCACAGCCATACTCTTGGGTGGGGAGGGAGGGAGAGACAGAAAGACAGGTTTAGGTGTATGGGCATTTTGGTACTAAGTTTGCAACTTTCTTGGCCATCTGAAATTACTTCAAAATTAAACATTGAAAATGGTAAAAGAAGAAGAAAGAGGAGGAGGGGCAGAGAAAGAAGTGTCCAATGGCTTACCTTCTCAGGAGAGTGTTTACAAAATCCTCTTATGCCTAGCTGTTCCATAGCCTCTGTCATATAAGTATGAATTTATTGAGTGAAGATCATTTAGATGGGAAAGGGGAGTGAAGAACCAGGAGCCGGAGTTTGTGATCAACTGCCCATGTAATTGAAAGCATTTCCTGTGCTATCAGCTCTAAGAGGACAAGAAGCAGGTGGGTTCTTGTTCACTGTGGTTCCTCCAGCTCCAGCACAATGCCTGGCACATATAAAATGCTTCACGAATATGTATTCAAGGAATAATGCACAATACTTACTTTGTGATTTGTTCAACTCTTAGTCTCCTCCTTTGCAATTGTCCTAATGCTTTCCTAAAATCGGTCCACTAAACTTGTAGGGATCGTAAATATATAATTATTCGCCAAGTGACCCTTTGAAAAAGGAAATCAAATTGTGTGAGACAGCAAAAGATGAAATCTGATATTACTTAACAATCAAACATTGGTATCTCTTTGCTGGCCAATGCTAAGGAGGTTTGTGGTTACCTTACATTCTTTTCCCCCCAGTCAGCAACTGTAAACTGACTTGAACATTAATTCAACATTAACAGTCTTAAACAGCTGTCAACGAATTATGGAAAAATACGATGGCTGGGAGAGTCTAGCTCGTATTTCAACCCAAAATCCAAAATCTCAGCAACATTTAGTTTTTTGGAATATGAACTATGAAATTTGAAATTACCAGAGTAATTGGAACTGCCAGAGAAGTTTAAAGGAGTCGCAATTAAACTGGACATGTAAACCAGCTGGGGGAAATGTGTGGCAAGAAATGCCTCGAACCTTTCCATTCTTGGTGACATCTGAATTTGCCTTTATATTAGACAATGTACTAAACAGGCCAATTCTGAGAACGCCTGTAAGCCTTCAATCTAAGGTAATTCCTTAAATAGAAATTTTCAAGATGACAACAAATTGATATAATCTGCACACTCTATCCACAGCTAATAAATCCAACAGTGAGGTTTCGACCCAGTGCCAACCAATCCGTACAACCAGTAACACCTATGTGATGGTCTGGGGTAAAAAATTGAGGTACATAGGTAATGGTTATAGTGGGATTTTATATTTTGCTTTTGCTGATGGAATTATTGAGACATAACTGACATAAAATAATTGTACATATTAATTGTGCAAAATTTGATGTTTTACTATTCATATATACATCCATCCATAAAATCATCACCAAAATCAAGACGTTGAACAAATCTATCACCTCCAAAACTTTCCTCCTGCCCCTTTGTCATTCCTTTGTCTTGCCACCCCACCTCCCTTTCATATAAGGCAACCACTTACCTGCTTTCTACCACTCCATGTTAATTTTCGTTTGCTAAAGTAGATAGAAAGAACCATACATTGTGTTCTTCCTATTTTATATACTTCTTTACTTAGCATATTTTGATAACATTTACATCCATGTTGTAGCCTAAATTCCTTTTCATTATTAACTAGTATGGTGCCATAACTATACAGCAGTTTATCCATTCATCAATTGATAAACATTTTGTATTGTTTCCAGTTTTTATCTATCACACATAGAGATAATATTAGCATTCATGTAAAACTTTTGTCAGGGCACACGCTTTTCTTTTTCTTCTGTTGTGTGGGTGACTCCAGAGAAGCCATAACTACTGAGAGATTCCCCATGAATGGCAACTGATGTCACTTACAACCAAATGTCAGGAAGATCAGGGCAGCAATGCAAGGTTGGTCTGTCAAAGCCTGTGTTAGGCAGAAGGGCTCCTAGACAGCACAGTTGTTTTGAGATGTCCACTGGTTGTAAAGCACAGTAGGTCCCAAACCATATGCTCTGAAATTAAGTGGAAATGAAGAGAATATCAGGATGCATCATAAGCACCTAATGAAATACAATATCAAAACAGAAAAGTTTCTCCAAATTGAAATCTATAGGGGTTATGCAATATGAATGAACTACATAATAAGCAGAAAGCCATCACTGTTTTTGTCTTTTTGAAGACTAAAAGCTTCAAAAAATATTTTTGATGTTATAAAGCTTGGATCAAATACCATTGAAAATATTTTAGCAAATATCATTATAATAATTTGAGATACTCTGAAAATAATTCATTGAATAATAGACATAATAGTTTAAATTATTTGCCTTTTTAACATGTATAAATTGAGCTCCTGTAGAATTCTAGGCATGATTGTTGGCACTAGGGATACACAGTAGAGAATAAAATATATATTAGGTGGTGATAAATGTTATGAAGAAAAAAATAATCAAAGAAGGAGGCTGGAGGTTGATATGGATACACTTTAAATAAGAGATAGGCAACAAATGAACAAAACAAACAAACAAATAAAAAATCACAGATACAGACAACAATTTAGGGGTTACCAGAGGGTAAGGGGGTAGGCGGGTGGTAGAAGAGGGAAAAGGGGGTCAAATATATGGTGATGGACAGGAAACTGACTCTGAGTGGTGAACAAACAATGCAATATATAGATGATGTATTATAAAAGCGTACACTTGAAACCTATGCAATTTTACTAACCAATGGTACCCCAATAAATTTAATAAAGATAAAAAACTGTTTAAAAATAAATAAGAGGTTAGAAAACTCAAATCTAATAAGGGAATATTTGAACAGACATCTAAACAACGTGATGGAGTGAGTCATGTAAATCTGGAGAATATTTCAGGTATAGAGAGCAGCAATGCCCAAAGTCCAAAGCAGTGGCATGTTTGGCATATTCAAGACACAGCAAGGTGGCTAGTCTGAGCTAAAGCAGACAGTATTAAGAATTAGACTTGGGCCAGCTGAGTGGCTCAGTTGGTTAAGAGTGCGAGCTCTGAGCAACAGGGTCACCAGTTTGATTACCACATGGGCCAGTTAGCTGCGCCTGAGCTTAGTTGCCGCTGAGCTGCCAAAAGATGGAAGAATGGCTCAGCTGGTGAGAGCACATTCTTCTAACAACAAGGTTGGCATTTCGAATCCCGCATGGGCTACGCCCACCTGCAACTAAGATTGAACACGGCACCTTGAGCTGAGCAGCCACAAGCTGCAGACTGGCAGCCAGATGGTTACTGGACTTGGAGCTGAGCTAGCTGCGCCCTCCACAACTAAGATTGAAGGACAACAAATTGACTGTTCCTCTTCCCCAATTCCCCAACACTGTTCCCCTTTCCCAATTCCCCCAATAAAATCTTAAAAAAAACAATTAGATAATAGAGTTATCTCTTAGCTTCCTATCTCCCAACAAATGAATTTATCTCTCCTTAAATTCAATAACCTCCATGCAAAATAAAGTATTTTAAAAATTCTGATTCTTTCAAGTATCTGTCATCAGTTGCTTTTCACGTATACTTTATGAATTTCAATGTGTCTCTAATCTCTGGGTATATTTAATACCACAGGAAAAATTCCTTTGTATTTGCTGTAGACTTTTTTCTTCTTCATTTTTTATGTCTTTGTGAATGCATCTATTTAGGAAAGGCTATGGTAGGCGCAGCTGAGAGAACTGAGCTCTGATCTGTTCAAATTTAATTCATAAAATTTTAAGATGGTTTCTATTTCAACTTCTCATCATCCACCTGAAAATATAAGAAGGATAAAATGAAAGAGCTGAATTTCAATGTAAAAAAGGTAAAGAAAAGCTGCATATTTGGAGAATTTTCCTGGGAGCCAGTTTAAAATTGTCAGCAATACTGATCATTGCATGATTAAACAGAAAGAAAAACATTTTACATAATCACTTCTGTTAATTTGCTATAAAACCTAAGTGGCAAAAGAAAAACTTTGTGAAGACTATTTTTCTTATAAAATTGTCCTCTATAATTCACATTTAGCTTTTTTCTCTTCATAGAGCTATTGTAATATTTTGTTCTTAGTGTAATATTTTGTTCTTAGTGTTTTCAGGGAAAAGAGGAAACAAAATAAACATGACATGAAAATTAGTTAAGTTGGCTAAGCAAGGGAGAAATTTGTTTATGCACAGCAATCTGCCTCCATGAAGATGATGCAACAATTTATAAACACTATTTTGTAACATCAGGTTTTACCAAAATGATGAACTAAATTTCTTCTGCTTTGTCTCTGTAACACATCACACAGTTCATAAGTAAGGGGTGGGCATTAACTGAAGGCAATTTTGTATCTCCCCTTATAAAAGTGTGTTTTCAATTGAATTCAGACCAATTCCATGATAAGTAATATGGACCTATCTTATTATCTGAGACAGGAGACATGATACTTCTTTCTTCTTGGTCAAGTTTTAGGAGAAAAGAAAATCAAGGTGAGGTTAGGGGAAACAGGACAAGTCTACATTCAGAGATAAAGCCAGCAAAGTAAAGGGGTGAATAGAATTAATTATATGGCTGGGTTTTCTTCATGAATAACACCTTGAAATGGAAGAACTTTCCATTTAAGATACTCATAATAACATTGTATATTTGGGGGGGGGGGTAAACCCAAAGGAGTAAGTCTGCTCTAGAAATGGACAAATTTTCTACATAACCTCTCTTAGCTGTTGTTTTATTCATTTTCTATAAGGATATTGTTCAGCTAAGATTAATATAAAAGGGGCAGACAGTACACACACATTCTTTGGAGAGCCTGTACTGGTTTTCAAAACATTCATGGAATATTTATAGAATCAAATAGGTGTAAATATTCACACTAGTGATACCTAATACTAATATATGGCCTTCATGTCAAATCAGCACCTTACCATTCTAAATTAGAAAGGCAGAATGTTTATATTAGCTTCACTTAGAAGGTACAGCATAAGATACTGAGTCTTGTGGCTTAACCCACAAAATTAAAAATAAAGTCATTTCAACATGATCTTTAAATAAATATAATTCAGTTAGAATTCAGTTTTCTGAATACAAGAAATAAAACATACCTACGAGTTCTGGCAATTAAGTTCGCAAACTTTTTACAATGTTGTTGTTAACCTTTTTTTGTATATCAGAGGAATTATTCATTATAAATTTGTACCAGCTGGACAAACAATTAACCAAGTTTACTATTTGGAAGTACTGAAAAGACTGTGTGAAAAAGTTAGATGACCTGAATTTTTCACCAACAATTCATGGCTCTTACATCACGACAATGCACCAGCTCACACAGCACTGTCTGTGAGGGAGTTTTCAGCCAGTAAACAAATAACTGTATTGGAACACCCTCCTTACTCACCTGATCTTGTCCCCAATGACTTCTTTCTTTACCTGAAGATAAAGGAAATATTGAAAGGAAGACATTTTGATGACATTCAGAATCAAGGGTAATATGATGACAGCTATGATGGCTATTACAGAAAAAGAGCTCCAAAATTGCTTTAAAGGGTGGCCTACATGCATTGGTGCATAGCTTCCCAAGGGGAGCACTTCTAAGGTGACCATAGTGATATTCAGCAATGAGGTATGAAGCACTTTTGAGTTTGCTAAGTTATGAGTTTCTAACTTAATTGTTGAGCCTCATAGAATTGTGTTGTGTTATTCATCAAGTTGCAAGGATATTTATTTCTTTATGAAAAATAGTTATTTTGGAATTACTGGATTTCCAGTCAAGATGGTGGAGTAGGTAAACACAGTGCTTATATCCTCTCACAACCACATCAAAATTACAACTAAACTATAGAACAACCATCATTGAGAACTGCCTGAAGTCAAGCTGAACAGAAGTTCTGCAATTAAGGATATATAGGAGAAGCCACATTGAAACTGGTAGGAGGGGCAGAGACACAGAACAGCTGACCCCATGCCCATGTGTGGCATTTAAAAATCTGGAGGGGTATCTAAGCTTCAGAGGTCCCTTCCTGAGGAGTAAAGTGTCCCAGCCCCACACCAAACTCCCCAGCCTAGGGTTCCAATACAGGGAAAAGCAATCCCCTAACTTCTGGCTGTAAAAACCAGTGTAGATTGTGGCTGAATGAGACAGAGGATGGCTGGAATCCAAGGCATTCCTTTTAAAGGGCCCGTGCATGGACTTACTTGCTGATGAACTCACTTGCTGTGAACTCCAGCACTGGGGCAGCAGCTTGAAAGGCAGCAGGGACATATGGGGAGGAAATGAATTATCTGACTTCAGGGCCAGGGCTGGAGGGGAAGCTTTCTCCCAGAGAGAAGTACAGGCAGAAGCCATTGTTTCTTTTTAAGCCCTACTCCCTCCCAGTGTGTAGTCGTAGGCAGTCACTACCATATTTCCCCATGTATAAGATGCACCCTTTTTTGAAAAATTTGGGGTGTAAAAACTGGGTGTGTCTTATACAGTAGTTGTAGGTTTTTTTTACTTGTATTTCCCACTTTTTCGTGCTTGTCTTTGTGCTCATTGTTTTGCACTTGTTACCGGTATATTACAGTAGGTTACATTTCACCTCATTCTGCCCAGAAATGGCTCAGAAAAGATTTCGTACAGTGCTGAATTCAAGTTAAAAGTGATCCAGTTTGCAAAAGTGAATGGAAATCGTGCTGCTGAACGTAAGCTTGGTCCTCCTCCAACTGAGAAATCAATTTGAAACTGGCTACGGGAAGAAGAAACACTACTGAAAATGCCATGGCAGAAGAAGGCCATGAGAGGCAAGTCAGCAAAATGGCCAGATTTAGAGAGGGAATTGAAGATATGGATTGAAGAGCAAAGGGCAATTGGGTGATTCGCCATCAGACACAGATGAGGACAAGCTAATGGTTGGGAGTTTTGACAGTGATGAGGAGTTGTATGAATTTTATGATGAATAAAACTTGAGTTCAATAACTATGCAATACATTTTTTTTCAAATTTTGGGCCCCAAAATTAAGATGCATCTTATACATGGGAGC